ATACCTACAGTTAGGTCTTTATTTTATATTGAATTTGACTACGGAATATTCCGTCTTACAAAGGGTTTTTAGCGGCCGTGACCCAATGACAGGGGATGCTTATTCCTCCTAGGCACCTTATCCCACCTCTGGAATCTCCCGGGGTCCGTGTTGATGCCCTCTTTATATAATTGTTTTTATGGGATTTTTTTTTATCAATTACTGGTTGTTATCTATACGTTTTTCGGATCACTATCAAGATGATGTGTGGGATGCAGGCTTGCTTTATTAATATGAACTTCACCGAAAGCCTGATATATAAGCCCTTTTTGTGAATTCATGGTCTTATCAAATGTCTGTTCTTTACTACGTCAATATTTATTCTTCCTTCGATAAAAAGCAATCGTCTACATATGATTAGGACTAAGGAGGTGTAGAAAAAGGTACAATAAATGTTTTGTTAAGTTGTTTGTACGTAGCTTGCTGTGTCGCTTTAGACGACTGTGGTATGAGTGACCATGGTCAAACAAAGAATGTTAACATCAAAGTTTCTTTTTTAAATCTAAATTGAAAAAGAAAACAAAGATTCTAAAAAAGAACATTTCAAAATTGTGATAGTAAATATCGAAAAATAAAGGGTAATAAATGTTTTGTAATTGTCAGTTTGCCCTTACTTTGGGTACCAACATGTTTGACTTCTTGACCTTGAGTTTGACCCACGTTTGCAAAATTTAAGCATACTTTAACCATAGTCAATAATTTTCCACTGTCGATCTAAGGAGTTCATGCGACAATTGTATATTCCTCCAGATACACATGTATGTCCTTACCCTGGGTAAAACATATTTTACCATGTCTAAAAAAACTTTGACCATATCTCTTGAATGGTTACCGCTAGAGCGTTCTTATTTCACATGCGTTTTCCTTGTGATAAGGATTTTTTGGGGTAATCTAACAACCAAGCTCTGTGATGAACGTGATGACTTTAACTTTTCTATCTTCAACTTCCCTTACTTATGCAGCAATTATATCTTCATCACCTGCATACGGAATTTATATATCTCACTTAATTCTATACGCAAGAGCATGCTCTACGTATAAACAATTTCTAAAACGAGGTAAATTATTGACAAACAAGTTGATGAAACAAGACGATGGATTTTTCCGTTATTTTCCGATCATGACATGGAGCACACGGCGGGTGTGACCGGTCAACAGGGGATGCTCACTCCTCCATGGCACTTGATCACACTTCTGATGGTTTGGAGGTCCGTGTTTGCTCTGCTCCTATTTTGTATTGTTTTATGGACTTTGATATTAAATACTGGTCGTTATCTCCATGTCTTGACCTTGAACTTGGAATGTGATTTTTAATCTTAGCCATAAACCGTCATACTAAGGTATAAGTTTTTTACAAACAACCTGTTACTACCTTTTTGTGTTAAGCTGGTGTTTAAGATTTTATTTGTCTCTTCTTATATATTCATCTATTTTATACCCCTTCAATCAAAGATTCGGAGCATTTAGTTTTTGCTCAGTCAACCTTACCCATTGTTTATATTTTATACAGCTTTTTAATGGCATGGGTTTTCAAACTTAATTTACTTGTGTATTTTTGTGAAAAGATCTTTTTTAAGTATAAATAATTAAAACCTTTTGCCAATGACCTTGTGTATTCCTTGTAACAAGGCCTTCTCTAGGGTACCAACAGCAATGACAATTTGACACTATCTCTCGAGTTTGACCTACATTTGAAAAAAAAAAAAAAACATTGGTCATAGCATTTAAAAGGTTAGTGCTAGAACTAGCATATTTCACAAGTCTCTTTCTTCTCACAAGACCATTATTAGGGTTTCCACAATTTCCATTGCATTTTAAATTTTAAACCCTTGCAATGAAGTTTGTCTTGTAGCTTATTATTTTTTTAAAAATTTTTCTACAGGTAACTCTATACCTCGAAGTATTATATGTTATGAACTCCTAAGTAAGTTTAAAGTTATCTTATTTAGATATTTACAAAAATGTCAGCATTTCAGCAATGAATTCATTTCCTTATTAATCTTGCGTAATATTCACATGAAATTGAATATCTATCAGTTTAATTGTAAGATGAATGACATTAATGGGTTTTTTGATAAATTTCCAGACATTTCCGTCACATCGTTTCTACAAAGCTTTTCGTTTCATCGATTTCAATTCAGTTTAAGCAAAATCCCATTACATATTCAATATTTTATGGAACATTGTCATTTTGGTATTCTCTACTGAACGGCACTGGGATATATAAAACCAACCCTTATAACAAAATTGACATTGGAAAAAAAAACCTTTTCTTTGGATTTCAAGGTGGAAGTTTGCATATGAGTATTTTTCTCTGGATATGTACCTTTAATGATACAGATAAACTTGATATAAACTAATGCAATCTCTTGATTTACAATAATTGCAATAATTGACGTGCCCCGAAACACAAAATTACTTTATCAATGTACTTCTAAATTTGTAATTATTTCCAGATCCATGATGTACATGTCAATGTTTTACAGGATATACAATGATTTGTTCTGACCATATCCAAAAGATCAGGTTAAAATATCTGGTTAAAATATTGATTTTGATATTTTGTCCGGTTAGTTCTTCAAAACTGAAGATTTTTATATTAGATTTTCTTTTGCTTAAAGCAACGTTAGCTGCAACTTTGATGTCGGAATTTTTTGTTCCAGATTGTAAATAGCTATATCAATGACAGAAAAAAATAACGTAAATGTACTTCTGTTGTTCATATTTGCGATAGAAGAACTATTTATAAGCTTCGATTTCATAGAAATTACATTATTGTTCAATAATGTTTCATATATAAAACTATCGACTGGATTGTATTTTGAAGTCTTTCTTCTGCTTTATTTTAGTCTATTTGATCATAAAAGTTTGTTGCATACAAATTTATCAAAATAACACTTTTTCACAGCAAAAAGAAATTTTTAAAAATGCAGCTCATATTGCTTTAAGTGTGTGTTTTGGCCAGAATCGAAACTGATAGTATTATATTATTTTGATGCATATTTGTAAAGCATTGTGAAATCTACAAAAAGAAGATTTTAAGTATACTTTCGGAATTAAGAGGTTTAATGAATTTTATCACATAAGCTGGTTTACAAAAATTATTTTAAAGATTTTTTTCTTTAGTAACTGTTCTGTACATGTATTTTGAAACACTCAGTTGTACTAGGATATAGCATGAACAAATGACGTCAAATCGTTTTAAATAATGCAATGATAAAATTATAAGAAGATAGTGAATCTGTTTCAAGACTGCACGAGGATGAAAATAAAATGTATAAATCTTTTGTAAAGAGGATTAAGCCAATTCAGCGGTTCTTTAGTGCACAGATGACGAGGAATGCAATTAAATGCTACTTGCAAGTGTAGGGATCAAACTCAGAAAACACACAAAAAAATAGAGAAAGGAGGGAGCGGCCATTTCTGTTTTATATTTGGATATTTACTGATACCAAAGGCAACTAACGATTAAACTGTATGAAAAATGACATCAGCTTTTCCATCGTCAACTTCATTTCCCTTTCTAGGGATGAAATTCTTCAAAATCATATGTCAGTTTTGAATATTTTTTAATATTCCAAAGAACCAAAATGAATTTGAACTACCAATTAAATATTTTGGATTCCAAAACTTCGTAAGAATCCTTAAAATCAAAGAACCCTTACAAACAAAGATACATAGCGGATTCCAGTAAATGTTCAACCACGCCTCTTTTTTTAATCCTCACTAAGATATTGACAGTAGTGAAAGAGAAACTTCAAGAGTACTGTGCAACAATATATTCAAGAATTGGTGTACATCAGATGTGGATACTTAAAAATTCCATGGAACTTTTGGATTATTTGAAATCACAAGATTTTACCAAAATCAACAGCTTAAAAACTTTTCAACTTTATATCCACATTAAATCAAAGTTCATGCTTTTCGATATCATTGACAGATGCCTTTCTAATAGAAATGGAACTCGTAAATTTACATACCTTGTTATTGGTCATTTGCAAAATTATTTTGTTAAAACATACTGATTGTACACACAAGTACTCTGAAGTTGACATCGAATAGATGATTGAGTTTCTGATTGACAATATCTATGTTGTTTTTGGAGACCAGGTCTTCCAACAATCTATTAGAATTCCCATGGGTACCATTTGCGCCCCACTATAAGCAGACCTAATTTGTATTCATATGAAGCAGAATTTGTGAAAAATCGTATACGTGAAAAGAAGAAAACACTTGCTGTGACCTTCAACTCGACATTTGGATTATCGACGACGTATTATCAATTAACAATAGTAATTTTCATTCTCATGTCGACAAGATATATCCTAGTGAGCTTGAGATAAAAGATAAGACAGAGTCTGACACATCTGTTTCATATTTGGATATCTTACTTGAAAAAGCCGCTAATGGTAATCTAACAACAAAGCTCTAAGATAAACGTGATGTTTTTAACTTTGCTATCGTCAACTTCCCTTACTTATGCAACAATAAAACTTCATCACTTGCATACGGAGTTTATATATCTCAGTTAATTTAATACGCTAGAGCATGCTCTAAGTATGAACAATTTATATAATGAGGTAAATTATTGACAAAGAAGTTGATGAAACAAGAATATCAGCAGTCTCGTTTAAAGTCATAATTTCGTAAGTTCTATGGTCGATACAATGACCTTGTCAGCACATACAATTTATCATTGAATCAAATGCTGACAGACGTATTTATACTAATTGTTAGTCCATTATTTTCCTCAGTACATATTAGTTTCAAACAAGCAAAGAAACATACGGTGTAGAGAAATAAAATAACAAAAGAACGAACAGGATTTAATTCCTTTTATTTTGTTTCACATTTAAATACTGCTAAACAGTATATAATAACATTAATCTGATTGTTATACGTCGCGAAATCATAATAATTATTTTTAACTTATACTTAATACAGTTATTTGAAGTCTCAGAGAGGAAAAAGATTTATTTATTATATACATGTACAAATATGTTTAGACAATAAAAACAATTATGTATTCAACTGCTGTATCAAATCTATATTTCGCTTTTTTGTGAAAATAACTTCTATAAAGCAGTTAATTAAGGTATAAAATTAAATATATTGTAACCAATTTTCTGATAAGCATTTAGGCGAATACTAAAGATCATTTGCGCTTGGGTTTTCATCCCAATATAAAATGAAATTCAAATGAAAACATATATCCCATCCATACCTCTGAGGACAAAGATAATAACAATTTTAGACAGCGAATATCTTTGGTCTTTTTGCAAGAATCTGTATATTTTAATTTCACTCTCTTAATTTATGCCATTCGGCGATCTGCTTCCTTGGACAGTTCATGACTTCGTTCCAGTGATGTAGTTCCTGGCCCGAGCTCCTCCCCCCGACTTCAAGCCGACCAATCACTTCGTTCTTAGTCATTCTATCCCAGTCCATCACCAGAAACTCCATACTAATGTTCTGTAACCCCTCATTATAGGGAATGTCGAACAAAAAGGACTCGTTGAAAACCGGATTCAACGTTCGTTTTTTGACGTGAGTTTTCTTTTTGGCAATTCTCTGATTATTGTACAGAAGATATATCTTTACTATTGGATCTGAAATCAATAAAAATGGTACTGTTATAAAACATATAAACAAGATACGGGTATTTTGTTTCTTCAGCCTGAGCTCCATGCACTACATTGTAGTTAGATCAAATGAACAAGCAATGAGACTGACGTTAATTGAATTACTAGTACCATGGACCATCTCACGGACGAAAAATATAGATGCAGGATTTTTTTTTAAAATATCACATTCCTTTTTAAGCAAATTTTAAGTTCTACAAAAAAAGATTTACGTGGAGGTTTCTGCCGTTATCTTTCTCCTATAATGCTTTTGATCGATTCCAATTCCCCAAAGTTCATATTTCCTAGCAGAAATATTTATCATTGCTGGCATTTCGTTACTATGATTTGGTTAACGGTGGCATTTATTTCATGCATTGTTTGATTAAGTTCTAACGGAGAGAAACAATGCAAACTAAACTAAGTTCTCGATTGAACGTTCCGTCATTTTGCAAACTGGTTGCATCAGGTTGTTTTTCAAGACAACCACTGGCTAAATCGGTAATTTAATTCATTGATTTGTGTAAATGTCGATGAGGAGAGAAAATTCATTTTCTCTGCTTAGATATCTTTATGAGCTTTTGGTAAAAACTGGAGAAAAAAAATCGAGATCGTATACTGAATCCATGATGCTGCAAAATGCGTTTAGATGAAAAAGTAAATGCGTTTTATGTCCCACTGGTTCAATTAGAAGATCAAAGATATTGTATCATGACCTTAATCTCTAATCTAGGTGTTGTAAAATATGGGGAAGCCTAATTACAGTATATTGTTACAGACTGTAAAATAACCCCAAGCAGAGATGCTTATCATCAAATGCTTCGAGACAGTCGCTCAAAAATATTATCGAGAGAGGAAACTTTGATCTTTCAGGAGGCAGTGGCCGCAATAATTATATTCTTGAAGAATTTAAACAGGCCAACAAATTAGTTTATGTTTCAATTGGGTACACGTGTTGTTTTTAATAATCATACATTGGAACTGCACTGCGAAAAAGAATCAAATGATATGCATTAATTGGTCTGATCAAAACCAATGGCTGTTTTTTCTTGTTTTTTGTATCTTTACAATATCAAGTTTTTGCGCTATCGTTGTGTAGAGAACCATGATATTGTGAAGACGTGTTTCCGTGGTTACCTGAGAGTCCCGTGATGTCCATTTTGGGCAGATTCCTTGCCTTAAGCACCACCACTGTCAGTCGGTTGGCCGCTGGCTGGTAGCAGAGTGAAATAAGCAACTCTCCCCGACCCTGAGCTTTGAACTGAAATAAAATTAAGTTTATTAAACGATAAAAAGAAATCTTGTCTTCACCCTCATCCAAATGTATTGATATTCTAACAGTGTCTGTTGGTTTGTTCAACATTCCTAAAAACAAGCCTTTTTGAAGATTCTAAAAAGGATTTCATTTAGCTATTACGTCAATAAATTAATGTTCATATGTATGTCCTCAGTTCCTCCAGATTCGTTTCTTGTGTAAAGTTTTGTTCATCTTTACTCAATAATCCTTAAACAAATACTTTCAATCTAGAAAGCGGGGTTTTTTTTGCCAAATACAGAACACATATGGATATATTTAGTAAATACTAGAATTTCATATCGTCCTGTGGCATTTGTCACTTTATCTACTTCCGTACCCCTGTGGAGTTTTCCTAACCGTTTTCCGGATTTCTGTGGTTGTTATTCTCAGACAGAACTTATTAGTCAATCAGAGAAATCCTAGCTGCTGAGTCTGGTGAATCATCTATAGTAATTACATTGTCTTCTGTAACGACACTACATAATGTCCTTATAATTACCCTGCCTCGTGACCTTTGTTTGACTTTTATCGTCCATGGCAGAAGATGTGCACCAAATCCCCAGGCAAACGGCAATGTTTTGTCAGAGTTAAAGAAATAATTGAGCAATCTGATGGTATTTTTATTCAAATAAGGATGCTCCTGGTCGTATGACCTTGAGTTATGGTAGCTTTTTCCCATTTACATTTTGTCTGACACGACAGAATTTATTACTTCTCGTGTTATCTTGGGTTGATCTATGGACGAACAATCCTAAATGAAATTTCTATATTTCCGATCCGATTTGCAAAAATCAATACCAATGGTTGTATTTTATCATCCATTCATAACACTGTGGGGGTATTGAATTTGAAGCATTTATTCAGAGACTGTTGAAGGAAAAATAATGGCATATCATAAACTTTACATTTGAAGTAAAATAAGGCTGTATTATTTGTTTTATCGAACTTCATTAATACTGTGCATAAGCATGGGATAATTTTGATAGTCTTATGAAATCGTGCGTAAAGCTGTCGAGGGTAGTTTATAAGCATTGGCTTCCCTCTTGATTTGACTACACTCGGCAGTTGTTGCTCTAGTCGTCGATTAATCGGAACTCGGTGTTTCCGCTACGCCATTAAAGATTGTGGTACCCGCGTCGCTAACTCTTCTCACGAATAAATAACACAAAACTATTTTTAAAACAACTAGGAAAAGAAAATATCAATGAGCTCTAACAGATCAGAATACATAATGTAAAAAAGATTTTTATAGAATTAGCAACTATTTCTAAGGAACACCAACATTTAAAAACTATACGTTTTGAAATCTTCATTTTGCGTTTTCGTTGAAAACTTCAAATATGATTAGTTGGTTATAGACCCGACACCAAAATTTGAGCGGGAGCGGAATAGACCATTGTATTTATTTCAATACAACACACTCAAATGACTGTCTTGCACGCAAACTTATTTCCATAATGTTAGCAGAAACTGATGGTGGTTCACGAGAGGTTATGATCATCAAGTATTATACTAGTAATATGACTGACTTGTCGCTTTGTAATCACCAAGTGCGTAATGGCATCTGAACCCGGGCCTCGCACCTTTAGTTTATGCAGTAGCCGTGTAGTATCTATTTCAAAATGTCGTGACTACCCACTCCTTAGTCTATTCGAAGTACTTGTCAACAAATAGGAATAACAATTATTGCATTGTTTTTAATCAAACATCTCCCAAAGGACAAACGGAATTTCCTCCTTCTAAAACTTGTGAGCACTATTTTCATTCATATCTATGAAATTGTTTTGAATTTATTTTTTTTTAAATAATACTTACATCTTTAATCATCAGACACGTTTTTAAACAATTCTAGAAAACGAACAAAGTTATTTTCTATGATGCTGCATTACCAATCTCAGTCTCTAGTCAGACAGAATATGTTTCTATTATAACATTAAAATCTTTCCTACTCTAACTAGATGGATTCTATTCTAATTCTCTACGTGAAATCCTCTGAATCTCGCAACATTACTTCAAAATAACCATCTCATTCTTCATTATCAGTGCCTTCATGTGGGTCGTTATTGGCGAGAGTTTCATTGTTTTGCATTTCCGTGATTCGGAAAATAAATCAGTGTATACGAACTGTACCTATTAGCTTTTACCAACTTGAATGACTGCATGACGTTGACGTTGCATTAAACATAGTGCCTGATTCCTTGTTTGACGTGAATACCCGATACAAATGGGATTTTCTATTACAAATTAATTCAGGATGGATAAAAGTCCATCTTTAATTAACGATTTTGTTAATGGCTTTTGGGTACATATTCTGAATAGAGCATCTTAAATCCTCGCTAAGCCGTGTACACAATGTAAGTATACAGTGTAAAGTGTGCTTGTTTTTCAAATTGCAAATAGTCGATATCAATCGAATTATAGTATATATAGCTATATATCTTTTAGCATTTAAAATAAATTGTCTATCTATATTGTTTATTCTTTTGTACTCAATATTGGCGTTCAAAATTTTAAATGTTCGATCCTTTACAGAAAAAAAAAACAAATCTGACTTATACTTTCTGCATTCAAAATGAATAATGAATAATTGTTTTAAAAATAAATCATTTTTATGTCCTTGTATGTAATTGAGGATTCTGTGGTATTTAGTTTTTCTTTCTGTTTGTCAGCTTAAAATCATAACTTTTGATTAGTTGAACCTATAAAAAATTTCCATATTTCACATCTGCATTCCTTGTGACAAGATATCATATTTGACTTTTGAGCTCGACCCACTCTTGCAAAACAAAGTTTTTGACTGTAACCTTGACTATTACTTTTAGGCATTTGGTGCTATACGGTTTGAATACTTCACTGCTGTATAAATTTTAAAATCATCAAAACAAAAAAGAAACAAACAAACAGTCAACAAACTGCTGAGAAACTAAAACGTATATGTATAGAGTTTACTATAAATCCATCGCTTGTCTGTTTCAATCCTTGTCAGTACCACGCATTTTTTAAAACTTCTCTGCTTATGAGTTTTAATTTTAATCGTAAAATTGTTCCAGATCTTCTCGTTACCTTAAATCTGTATGGATATCATGATATGTGTAAAATAATCTATCATAGCTTTTGCATAAAACCTGATAAAACTTATCATCCACCGGTATTACCATACGAAGGCCATTTCCCTACACCCACTCGTCCAGAATAACGGAAAGCCACCAATCTTGAATGTCCAATCCAATATATCAAAATTGCTAATACATCACAAAATATTATTATGATAGAGACTATAAACTGCAGTTTGTCTGCTCAATATTCTTTCGAGAATTTCAATTCTGTATTAGTTTAATGTTCTAACAAATTATTTTCGGAAATGTTCACTGGTTATATTATTTTTGCTTTCATGTGTAAAACATTAATTGGACATAAATGACCAATAACTCACTGATATTTGATATTCAATGGCTGATACGTTCTACATTAAGAAGTAAGATAGGAAACACCGGGATATTAAAGCATTGTATCGCATGAGATGCCATGCCTCTAAAATGTTCTTAAAAACAGAACACTAATAATGAAGTCGGATAACAAATTAAATGCATTTAATGAGTCGTCAGGATTTAAAATGAATGACCTTTAATTTGAATATAAATTTGAAAAATTAAGTTTTTCTCTATTGATACTAGTACCTCACCGTTCGATTTTAGAAAGGACAATTAGAGAAAAATCGACACAGCTTTGCCAAAGCACAAAATGGTGGATGGATGGGGAAGGGCACGTTTTACATCCATCACTGGTATACCATGATGGCATTGCATGGTTATCTTTCATACACCACGGTATTAATGTTATTGTTTTCTATTCATGATTAATATTTGACTGAATTCCATGTAAGTTGTTTGTCATGTTTATATACTTCCCCGAAGAATTAAAAGACACAGGCACCTGAAAAATATATATGACCCCTGTCTAATAAAAAAAATATTATTATTAGGTAGGGGATATGTTTTTTTTTTATTAAAAGAAAATAAGTAAAGTCAGGTGCTTGTGTTAAAAGACAACATGTATAAGTATATGCTTGTGCGCATGTAATCATGTCTTTTTATTATGCGCAATAGATATGCAAAGCTGGGGCATTGTTTGCTAAACTCAAGTACGTTTACAGAAAGTCTTGATCACATTGGTAATGAAATGATTAATATCGTGCATTTAGCTCGATTAAGTAAATTTATCTTATTTAAATCTGATATTGATCATATCAGGTATTAACATAGGTGTGTTCGGACGTTGACGTCACGTTCATAAAGTCGATGCCAGAAAACTCGAGTGTGCCCAAATATTTGTGTTAAAAATGCAATAAAATTTCTGTCGGTCTGTACGGAAATAATCAGCCGAAATATTATAACAAATGAAGATTGATTTTTAGGCAATAAAATTCATAACAACTTAATCAACAAGAGTTTTTGACCATGGCTTCATTTCTACTGCAATACTGTTTAACATCCTAACAAACTTTTTCTATATATGGAATGTATTTTCCTTTCTTTGTTTAATGGAAACAATTACATTTTTCTTCTGTCTCTGTATACGTGACCAAAATCTCGATCCTAAGATATTCTACTTCTAATAAAAAACCTTAATAACAATCGGATATATTTAGCATCACAGGGACTGCAAATGTTAATAAACATGCAATTTACGTCCTATGTCTGCAGAATAATCTTCGTCTTTTCACCAACCAAATTCAAATTAATTCATCAGAAAAAACCCAACAGTATCCAGTTTCAGTCAATCGTTTGCAGGATTTTATTTTCTATAACAGTCTTGGATAACCAGAGGAAAGGCTTAATAATGCACATGTTGGGAAAAAAAACTGCAGCAAGAAAATTCTTGTCGATCTTCAAGGATTGTACCCTCGTCCTTTTTGTGTCTCCATAGTGTAAGTTCAGGGATATATAGCTTTTTTTCTGTCCATTTCTTAAAATGTCTGTTTGTCCGCAAAAACTTTAATATAGACCATAATTTCTATTAATTTCAGCTAGGCTTTCATTTTTCCTAGAGACAATATCTTTCTTTGGGTACCAATATATTTGATCTCTTGACCTTGGAGTTTGATCCACTTTTTCAAAAGTAGCAGATTTTTGGACTTTTTGACCTTGAAATTTTACATACTTTTGGAAAACTTAAATATATGACTTGCATTGAGAAACTTTAACTCTAATCTCTGCAATGAGTCAACATCATGCACATCTTGTTTTGCATCCAAAAAATAGATGTAGGGAGAAAGATTTTAAAACAACGTTCTTTGCTTTCAGGTAGGATTCTTCTCTGGTTTTGAGTAGATGAAATATTCAAAGTATATTTGCTCTATATGTCTTCTATATTTAAGTGTAAGAGATTTAAAAGACCACATTTTTCTTTCCTCGTCACAATTGTACAACTTTATATAGAAATGGTAAACTGCGTTTGAAAACTAGCAGGGACTATATTTTTGGCGGAATGGTGGCGTATGAAAATATCTTCTTTTCTGCCTCTCAAAAATATTATAGAATAATGAATTAATTTATAATTTTTACACAATCGAAGACTTCAAGAAATTTTCAAATGTAAGTTAAATTAATCATAAGGGACTAAGGTTTCAAAATATATTAAATAAATAAGATTTTTCAAACAACCTAGAACTATGTTGGCTTTTAGATGCTTCAAATCCAAGTACAGATTTGAGCCAAAAATTCGTAAAAAGTGTAATTTCTCTCATACTAAACGATCAAATATTTTTGTTTTTGTGTCATTTTGTATCTTTATGCGATAGCTTTCCTATGTGTGAAAATGAGAAAAATTTAAATATAAAGCATATAAAAAAAACTAAAATATCCTTAAAATTTAAGAAAGGTTGAGAAAATTCGGATTAGCCAATACTGTATACAGGGTTATTTTCGCCCCGTGTTATTTTCGCCCTTTTGCAATTGCGAACAATTTTGCCCTGTTTTAAATTCGCCCATTCATAGTTTTGTTTAAGAAATTATGCTGTGTAATTTAAATTCGCCTCGTTTTAAATTCGCCCAATCAAGAAGAGGGCGAAAGGGGCGAAAATTTCCCTGTATACAGTATTCATTTTCGTTAAATTATTTATGTCAATTTCGTAATATCATCTTATAGGCCTAATATGGTAGTATCATTTTTATGCAAATAGAAAAACATTCAATCTTTTGAAATACAAGTAGGGATCGCATGATTGGAAACAGTAATTTTTTATTCTTAATGTCAGTGGAAAAGGTAATGACCTTGACTTGACCTTGCCTCTAATATTAAACGGTCAAATTTAATATCAGTGATACCATCACTTAGTGATATTGTCCTCTTGATTCTGTGAAAATTTCATCAATTTTTAAATACAAGAAATGTGAGAAAAATCCTACCTTAAAGAGTTTTTTCCATAATGTTCATATCAAAAAGGTAATGATATTCAGTAATAGAGACAAATGGATGATCGATTATGACGAGAATTTCTAAAGTACATTATCATCAACCATTTCCTTTTTGAAGCTTTTAAAACCGTTTCCAATATGAATATGCACCAAATGAAACCTCTAAACATAAATGTATCTGATGTTTTTACTGAGTGGTCCAAGCATATGATGTTGGATCCGTGAGATGTTTTGTCACTAACAAAGCTTCATTACCGCCTTTAACAGGAGACAGTTTAGAGAGAAAGTAAGGTTTTCCAGTCTTATGACTATGTACCTCGTCTCCGACGAGATTGGCAGAAAATGTTGTCATCAAATTCCTATAGTCAATAAGAGTATAAGCAAAGTCTTCGTTTTCTTCGAATCTTTTGTAGAGATATCAAAGGTCAACATAAATTTATGATTATTTTGCTCGTTCTGTGTACCGTGGTATTGTTATTAGTTTATTGACCTTCGAGGTTGCTGCTCAAATAAAAATTAATTAATAAAAATATTGTGACGTCAGCAACAACCACGAAAAACTCGAGTGCGTGATCTTTTAATAAGCTGGAAGTATTATCCTAATAATACATGTACCTTACATGTAAAATCAATTCTTCATAGAATTTTAAATAGAACATGGTATACATTTTTTTAACCTTGTTCAGATAGAAAAGCAATATCGTTTTCATTAAGACGAAGCATAAATTTCCTAAAACAGAAAGTAACAGATTAGACTTCTAAAAAAAAATTATCAGGATAAAAGACCGACATAGTAACAAAATTTTCTTTCAGATGCCTCTTCTAGATCATATTCATATCTATCGTTTCTGTGTAGAACGACTTGACACTTTGGGAATGTCAGTAGAAATTTAATATAGTCGATAGAAGCTGCAGCATTTTCCATTAATTCCCATAAAGGAACTATATCTCCTTCCTTTAATTAGTTTTCACGAGATTTGGCGGATGATTCCGGTGAAGAGAAACCAATCAAATCTCCGCCTACATCTTCCTTTGAATTTTTTGTGAAGTTTTTTTTTAATTTGCTTTCTGATCTAGAATTCAATACACCTTTCAATAATATGTAAGGACTCAAAAGTGAACTTTTAACCTTTCTTTAATATAAAACATTTTTGTTAGTTATTTGTTATCCATAATATCTCATCTCTCATCTTGCAACTGCATCATTAGGCTTTAATCTATATTTAATAATAACAAGAACATCAAATATCTTTCGTCGATATGCCAAACGGCTTTTATTTCTCTTTGGTTTAATCATGTATTACTTGAATTATAAATATTATATGATTGGGTTTGAAAAAGACATAACTCAGCTTTTACGTTTTTCTCCTTCTATCCTGTTAATTATTACGGACAGTATGCATTTTTTATTCTTATTCATCTTTCTTTTCCACAAATAATTGGAATTCTATGTAATTGTCAATGATCTCTGCTGGACGGGGAAAATTGGCAGATTTATTTTTAATAAATATTTTTGCGAAGGACATGATTCTCGCTAACAACATCCGCAAACTGCTTCAGAGTCTTGAAGCCATTATGATCTCTCAATCAATTCCTGGCATTTTGTGGGAGTGTAGTCTAATAATGTGACATGAATCTGATGAACAAAGCCAGATTTGTCCAGTGTACGTCAATATCAGATCAATACCACGATAACTGAGGTCCCGTAGCCATTTCTGCCATATGGCACGGCAATAACAATCATTTAAAAACTTTAAATAATATACTGTACGGATCTCCATATGAAAAATTAACCCTTGCATCGAAAATTAAATTAGATAGCATTAGTCTCCACAATATTCCAAATTCTAGACATAATTTTCTCTTTATCCAATATAGGCAAGAGATATTCCTAAGAGCTTTCATACCGAATATTGTTTGACTTGTTAGTATTTTCAGGTTATGTGAATAAATCCATACATTTACGCCTAAACATAGATTTGTAACATGATTACTGAACAGTACTAGGGTTTTTTTCAGGTTGACCTCACTTTCGCGGGACTTTTTTTTGGGTACATTTCCTTAATACTGACGCTAAGGAGGCACTTCCCCGTAGTTTATTTATCAGGGGAATACTAGTATTTGTCTCCAGAGTGTGATAAGCTCGTAGTAATTGAAAATTTCTTTTTTCTAGCAAATAAAGAGCACGGATATTAATTTTTGTATATTGACTTGTGAGGACTTACAATCTAAAGAATTAGGTATGTATCGATTCATAAAGCTTATGATCTACCTTCAAGTGCCGAGGGTTGATTTCCTTAAAAAGGAGAAGCTCTTTTTGTTCCGTACTGACATCTGTCAACGGGTACACAACCTCTCCAATGATTTCATCTCGGGAGAAGCGATCAAAACTCAAAATAGCAAAGTGAAGGGTTATTCCAGGGATTTGATTTTTGCCGATGCCATAAAATGTAAAAGTCTCATCATATACAGGATGCAGGGTTTTACGCAGAACTCTGGTTTTGCACTTGTGTTTCTTGTCTGGAAGAAGCTGTAGTTTAATGTATGGATCGCATCCACCTAAACTAGGATCCCTTGGAGGCAAATCACTGGCGCGAACAATGGTGACAAGAAGTGCTGTATTGTGCTCATCATACTCCACAGAGAAATATAACATACCCAGTCTCTGTTTCTCGTCTATCTGTCTCTCCCTCAGACTCACGTCCTTCTCACTTGGTGTAGTCACCGACTCTTTTTCATTTTCACAAAAAGCTTGATCAGGAAACGAAGAGCTCTGTCCTCTTTCTGATGGAATGTTGTAGCCTTGGTCTGACGAGCGATCTATTATGCTGTCTTGTGGTGGTATAATGGGACTGGTCGCTCTATGTTGCTTCAGTGGTGTGCTTTTGACGGAGGAACTGCTTCTCCGTCCTGGTGTGGGTTCTTTAAGACCTTTCTTGATGGCATGTGATAGCCTGTATTGTACATCCCTTGCCCTTCTCCTTTGATAGCATCGGTATCCAATGATGCTGATTCCAATAAGAAAAACAATAGAGCCAATACAGATCCCTGCTACAGCCCCTGTTGTGACTGAAATAGAATGTTGTGTCTTTGAAATATAATGATACTTGCTTTTTGATTCCATGTTCTTTGAAGATATTGTGACCTCCAAAAAAAATGTTATCTTCAATTGTGAAAACGTTTGTGACCCACTTATTATCCAATGACATTAAACTAGACATTTCCAGATCTAAGTATTAGAAATCAATGCTTCTAAATTTAGACTTTGAAAATTCTTTACTCTATGGGGCTTCTTCCTACTACCCTTTACAGACTTTAGAATTTATTAAATTTAAATTTCTACATGACATTTAATTGTCATTTACAAATCTGAATTGAACAAATTAAAATTTGTAGATGACACTATCTGAATAAGAAATTATCAAGTTATTTAAAAAAAAAATAACACCTTGTCTTAAAACTTTCTGGATGCGTAAGATACCAATTTATCGACAAAAATACATGTATAGGAAAAGAATAAAACTTCGTCTTTATTTTAATTACAGTTTTGAATGCCGTTTAGCATCGGTTTTTCATTTACATATTTCTATAATCCAGGACATCAGAATAAGTAGAAAATAAGTGAAGCAAGTTTTTAAAGAAATCACAAGTTACGTTGTGTCTGTGTAGTAGTAATTTTAATTTTATGTTTTTCTTTCTGTTGAGTAATTTACAGACATCAAATGATAACAATAACATTTATAACTTTGATGTTGCCACGGATTAGTACCCAACATCGCGCCATGAATAAATACATTATTAAAGGATTGTCTCCAGCAATAAAAAGTCGCATATCACATATTTTTAGCTATGTAGTATTATTTCTAGCACCATTATCCAAGAAATGGCGATGAATATTACATCGCTGCGAACGGATTTTACAAATGTGATGAATAAAAAATTACTGTTGAAATTGGAGTAACATTCTCTCAAGCAATACATATTTACGAAATAAAGATAAAAATTTCATCGATGATATATATTTTCTGATAATATTTGTAATAATATATGTTACATAAATGTGAATGAACGATATTTCATTAAAATTCAAAACCTGTTAAATTTTAAAGAATAATTTTGTTTTTATTAAAACAGTTCAGTTTAAGCCGAAAGCGTAAATAACTATTGCTAAATTGACGAATTTGAAATTTCTTTTTATATATTCATATCTCTGAGTTGTCTCAAAAATGATTTTATTTAAGTAAAATTTAATATAAAAAAATACATTTCTATGTAAATCTTTGTATTTCCATGCAATAATACATTTTAATCCAGTACTTACGCAAGTGATAATTTTCATGAGCAGGGTGTACTTCCACGGTTTTCATCTTTTACTCTCCTTTTTCCAAATTAAATGGATCAAAACAATGTATTCAGAGCAGAGTCCCTCACATTTTCATTAAAGTGACACTAACAATTCTAGAGAACAACAATCGCGATGCTACTCCAAAAGCCTCCACAGAAAACTGGAAATAAATCGATCGTCAGAGACTTTGCTAGTCACGGCAGACAACAGCGCCATTGTTTGTGTATTTACTCGTGACGTGGTCTTGAGATTTTCGAGAAAGAGAAAAATCTTCCAATTTTTTGATGCCATCAAAACTCTGCAGAAATCAATAGCGATATCTTACGCCTGATTGTAATTGTCATTCATGCCATGATCAGATCTGCGACTTCAGTCGAACCATCAGAATCAAAACCATCAGAATAATGAAATGTAAATTATGAAGTTGGAGAAAGTTGTTAAAAAAAATCCCAAAAGGTATTAAAAAAGTCATTTGGAACGACAAATTGTAGATTCCTTTTTTTTCCCAAAAAAAACATCTGACTGATTTCAGTAATATGTAGTAAGTACCAATTAGTTTTTATGGTATGAAGCAATTTTACTATATTGAACACAATAATCTACACAGTTTTAATGTTAATGTATATTGCTCTACCTTAAGAGAACAAATAAACTTTTCTTAAAATAGTTAATTTTTATGCCCTTTCCCCTGTCTTTATTTTAGGATTTGCTTGTTTGGGTTTTGCATTTGTTGGTTTTTCTAAGATTTGAAGAATGGTTCAAATGACATCCAAATACAGCAATGGCAATGTAAAAAAAACATATTCTTAGATCGACACTTTATCATCTAACAAAGAAAATTAAGCACATGGAGAATTAAAGATTGATAATCTTGGATCCAAATATCCAGCATTTATCCCTCCCCCATCCATTGTAATTACTTATTGACGGATATTGATTTTGAATTCGTTGAAATTTATGTGATGAGAATATCTGAAAACAAATTAATGTTCTTGCCGGGCTTTCGACTAAACAGCATTAAAATTCAATAGTGGCTATTGAATGCCAGTTTTGATATTGATGGTCCGACAAGGAAAGTCAATGTTGCTCACTTTTGTAACATCGACGAATTTTATGGCGGTTCAACATAAAACATAACATTCTTTTCTGTGCCAGATAAATATAAGAACAGACTTTTATGTTTATGTTTTTTTTCTTTTAAAAATTTGGGACAAATTTTGAACTGCAAAGATGTCAAAAGAGAGCATTCTTAAGTTCACGGAGTATCACTTATTCTGGCGTCATTATTTGCAGGTATTTTCATTGTATTATTTTTGCATGTTACTTACAACTAAACTTAAACTTAAAAAGCCTAAAAATAACCGTAAATTTGTTGTAGATCTTTTACTAATATAGACGTAAATGGTAATCTATCTTGATGGTAAACATGATGGCTTCAACTTTTCTATTGCCACATTCCTTTATTTATGAAGTATATATACCCTTATCACCTGCATATGGAGAGTCTCCCAATTGATTCAATACGGACAACCATGTTGTACGTATCGTGAACAATTTCTCAAACGAGTCAAGCTATTGATAAACATGTTTTTGAAACAAGGACATCGACAACCTCGTTTATAGTCAAAATTTTCGCAAATTTCATAATCGATAAAATGTCAGCAAATAAGTCATATTTTGACAGACCATACTAATTTATGACCATTATTTAAAAACTGAATTATCTGCGGATTTTTCGATATACCCGATTATAACCATAAAGGAACACAAAGCTGGTCTGTCCGATCGACAGGGGGTGCTTATTCTCCATGGCACTTGATCTTATCTCTGATTTTTTTTTTTTTTTTTTTTGAGATCTTCGTTTTCTCTGCTCCCATTTGTATTGTTCACTGAACTTTTGAGCTTATCAACTTTAGTCATGGTCGAATACACGTTACAAGTATCCTAATTCCAACCGTACGAACACTTCAATTTTATTGGTACCACTTTGAATACTCAGTACTTTTTTTTTTACATAATTATAAAAATATAACATTATGATTCTTTGAATACTTTAAGAGCATTACTATTTGCTAACTTGAAAAACAGCTTTACGAAACAAGTCAACAAAACAAAAATATCTATAATGAAGACATGTTGGGTGTATAATGGGCCCGATACCTTAAAACATAAATTATACTTATGAACTGACATGTTAAGCTGATACAAAATCTCCTTGATTTGACGTGCTAACTGATCCATAAGCCCTCATACTAGCATTAGCTCTTTTTGTCTTCTTTTTACAATCTGAAATTCCTGCCTTTACATGTACATGTATACGCATTCTAAAAGTAGATGGACAAATATAAATCAGCAGAATCTACAGGTGAAGATCAGTAGATTTTCTTGTCATAAAATCAATTTTATCTCTAAATTAAGACCTAAATAAATGTCTTAATGGCCATATACTTCTTGCAGGGTGAGCTGGCCAATTACAAATAGGCCCGCACAGAATCCAAATCAGTCTGTCTGGCTTTTTCCTGACATTTCAGAGTAAATAAGTCAGCTGCTCTCACTCACGTGGAACTGTAAGGACACAAAGGTGATACTAATTCACATGTAGAAGATTCCCATCTTCAATTTAAATCAATGATTCATAGCGCGAAAAGAAGGTTAAAAAACTCATTTCATGGTACCTGATTCCATCTCTGATGTAATAAACGATACATGCCCACGCTCCATGGGGGTCAGTATTTTAATGGGGACTTCAGGATACAATTCTGAAGTAGGAAGTATGAAATATTTTTAAAATAATAGCATTAGGGCTTGATTAGACTTGCAAGCGTGCTATACAGTACGCTATGAGTGATTGTTTACTCAGACTATGATTGATATATTTCAGAACAAAAAATGACAAAATGACGGTTTCTTTAAATTACTATATTATTTTTATCATTATTCCAAGTTCTCTGATTGGCTCAAACTTGATCACATTATCAAGCATATAACAGCATAAAGACTTGTGTTACTATTTATAGAATCTGAGATGCATATATCGACTTGATGTTTCTTAAAATGGAGATTATAATTTTCTGTAAAACAAAAATATAGTACTGATTTCACAATTATAGCTATTTCAGTATATGACTTGATGTTTCTGAAAAAAAAATATACTTCATCTTGTATTAATATTTTTAATGTTGTGTAATTGATGTAGGGCGGGACAACACCTAGAGAGAAGCAGGCTTGGAGCCCGTGGATTGGCGGAATCAAAGACATAACAAGGCCATGAATTAGGATCTACTTTATATTAAAACATATTGAATATGTTTGTCAAAAACTGATACAAATAAATGTTGTATTTTGAATAAGTAAAATCCTCTAAATTATCCCATTTATATAAAGGAAACACAATTACATTAAACAGCTTAATTTATTTTGATCTCTAGTCTCTAAAAGTTAAAGAGAGTTCCCATTTTTTTCAAATTGTGTTTTGTCAATCTGTGTGAAAAATAATATAACAAATATAGCCCTTTAATTCGGTCAATCCATAGATATATCGACTTCACAGAAAAGCATATCGACCTCGCACTTCATGCTCGGTCGATATGCTTTTCTGTGAAGTCGATATATATATATCTATGGATCGACCTCATCAAAGGGCTATATTTATATAATAATGACTACTTGTATTTTTTAAAGACAGTCGTGACTATACAATTATTACTCGATATTTTTTAGAAGACCAACTGAACTTTGGACAAAGCATTTTACCGTCTTCTTGTTTCTGTGAGTCTACCTTAATATATAATACAGAACCTTAATATATAATACAGAACATTTTCTACAAAAATATGCAAGATTTTGTATCTTTCTCGAAAAACCTTTTTAGCGTAATCAGACAATAACCTTTATGAAGATAAGGTTGAACTAGCCACTGTGAAATGAATGAAAAGCTGATCTTTAATTGGCATACATGTATTTTAAAACGTTTTAAAATTTCGACTTCATATCTTTCCATTTACAACCAAACAAATCTGCTCACTCCTCTATGGCACCTGATCCCACCTCTGATGTTTTGGATGTCCATGTTTGCTCTTCTCCTATGTTGTAACGTTTAAATATTTTTTTGAGCTCGAATACTAGTCACTGTCGCCACATATTTCATTTCATAGCAGATTTACAGTATAATCTTTGAATTTACGTGCTAGAAATAATATTTTACTGTGCGATATTCCTTATTTCTATCACTAGGCTTAAGAGTAATCCCTAGGTCACATTTAAGCCGATGGTCGGGCGACCAAATTTTTTCTGGTATGGTCGGCTGAGAGAACATGATCGGCCGACACAAGTATGGGGCTTCATAAACTGACCGCTGATGGTCGGACGATGATCGAAGGTTGGTCGACGGATTGCTTCAATTGAAGAAATTGGCCACCGACGCAGGAAAAATTATAACTTGGACTGGTGGACACAAAATTGGTCGGCCGACAAAAAAGAGGTCAAAATCGGGCAAGACAACTGCAGATGAACTGCCGACTGTCACCCGAAGAATCCCATTTTTGCTTCAAAAACCGTCGGCCCTTGGTCGTTTTTGGAAATGTGACTGAAGTTTTAGTCTGCACAGAAAACCGAGTCTTGTCTTCAGTAAATTCGTTCGTACATGACCGTGATAGTTAACAACCTTTTCAGCATATTGTCTATCACATTGAATTAGATTTTATTCCCCCTGATCTCAATGGCCTAAATTGTAAACAGTGCTAATAATGTTCATTATTTTTTACGTCCTCAGAATGGACTGGAAAACGGGTTCTTAAAGAATTCTTACATCACATTTCACAAAATGTCTTTTCACTTTTGTGAAGGATATGGAGATAACAAACAGTATCCAATATCAAAGTCCATAAAACAATACATAGGAGCAGAGCAAACTATCTTGTTTTCAATCGTCAGCTTCCCCTGTTTGTGTTGCTAAATTCAGAATTACCTACAAATCGTCTCTCATCTGATTCGATAATGAAGATCATGCACTGGGTACGTTTAATTTTTTTAAAAAGGCAGCATGTTAAAAAAAAAAATAAGTTGATGCTACAAGGGGTTTCATCTATATCGTATTACAGTACGTATCTTGGAAAAAGTCTATGGTCGTCTTAAAAAATCCTGATGATCGTCAATTTCTCTTTCTTATGCAGCATTATACGTTCATCTGTACACGGTATTTATATATATTTCAGTTGATTCGATAC